GAAGACAAAAATAGCAAAGCAGCCTGCACATCTATCTTATCAAAAGAAACAGCCATAATTATTTTTATAACATGATAAGTATAAGAAATAAAACAGTAGTGGGGCTGGGAAGGTGGCTCAGGGGTAGAGCACTTGCCTTGCATGCATGGGGCCCTGGGTTCGATTCCTCAGCACCACATAAGCAAAAACAGAAAAAAACCAGAAATGACGCTGTGGCTCAAGTGGTTGAGTGCTAGCCTTGAGCTGAAGAGCTGAGGGACAGCACCCAGGCCCAGAGTTCAGGCCCCATGACCGGACCCAAAAAAAAGAAAAAAAATAAAGAAATGAAACAGTAGTGTAAGAGCTTAAGTTCCATTAAATATCATTTCTCAGAGATAACTCTTTTAACATCTTGCAATATTTCTTTATATAAAATGCAAATATAAGCCAGGCATCAAGCCAGGCATTGGTGGCTCACACCTGTAATCCTAGCTACTCAGGAGGCTGAGATCTGAGGATCACAGTTTGAAACCCAGGCAGGAAAGTCTGTGAGACTTTTACCTCCAATAAACTACTCAGAAAAATCTGGAAGTGGAGCTGTAGCTCCAGTGGTAAAGCACTAGCCTTGAGCACAAAGAGTCCCAGAGTCAGCACCCAGGCCCTGAGTTCAAGCCCCATGATTGACAAATAAAATAAAATGAATTGCATATATAAAAATTTTTTTGAGGCGATGGGAAGGTGGCTCAGTGGTAGAGCGCTTGCCTTGCATGCATGAGGCCCTGGGTTCAATTCTTCAGCACCACATAAGCAAAAAAAGAAAAAAAGCCGTAAGTGGCACTGTGGCTCAAGTGGTAGAGCGCTAGCCTTGAGCTGAAGAGCTGAGGGACAGCGCCCAGGCCCAGAGTTCAGGCCCCACAACCGACAAAAAAAAAAAATTGAGACAGGATCTTGTTATGTATTCTAGGATGGCTTTGAGCTTTTAATCCTCCTGCTCTCAGCCTCCCAGGTGTTGGGATTACTAGTGTGAGACACAATGACCCGCTCCTACATGTTTTGAGATATAAATGGTGGTCAGCAATTTTCTTGTACAAGAAGATGCTCCAAATTCCCTCGCTGCCCATCAGGTCATTTTCTCTCCTAATAATACCCCCAACTTTTAGTTGGGTCATTAATACCTACAACTGTATTCTATGTTTCCAGCGAGATACTGGTTTAAACTCTAGTCCCGCCATTTGTACACTGTGTGACCTTGGGTAATTTGCCCTTAACCTTGCTAAATATCATTTTCCTACCAGGCATGCCTGTAATCTTAGCACTCTGGAGGCAGAGGCAGGAGTATCCCTAATTTGAGGCCAAACCTTGTCTCAAAAAACACCAAAAAATTTATTTTCCCTTCTGTAAAAAGTTATTAACAATATCTCAAATATAGGTATTATAATACTTAGAACATAAGTATTATTAGTAATTACATTGATTCTATTATTCTATTATTATAAGATTATCATGAATACCTAAAATAACATCCTGGTAATTTTCTGGATTTGAAATCTGCCTGTACTCTTGAATTTCAATGAGACACTCAAACTTTCTAAGTTAGGTCCTTCTCTATGAGAATTAAAGTGTGTGACTGACAAAGTTATTAGAAGGGTTAACTCTGCATAACATGTTCAGTGCAGTGCCCAGTATACAGTAAGAGCCTAATAAATGCTAGCTGCTATTATTACCACAGTAATTACTATCATTAAATCAAAAGGCAGCACTTAATAAATGTTGATGTGGCCATCTCCTCTACCTCAGTCTCTTACTAATGAGAGATATCCAAGAATTCCATAACTAGGTCAAGGCCAAGGCCCGTCTTTCTAAATACTGTCACACTGCTCACTAAAAACCTTATAGGCAACTTATATTACTAACGACATGCAGAAAGTATCCATTTCACTCAATTCCCCACCAGCAGTCTTTTCTGTTATCATTAAAGGGGTAACATGGTATTGTGAGATTAATTTTCGTTTATGACTCTGAGGGTAGACACTTATTCTTCTGGTTTGTTTACAGTGAGGCTATCTTCTGCTATGAATGAATGCTTTCTATCTTTTGCCTATTAACTTGGATCCTAGTGGCTTTCCTAAAAGTTTGAATAGACTATCTGTATATTAGAAAGATGATTATATTTAATGCAAATATTTTCCCAGTAAGCTGGAGCCGCAGAGATCCAGCAGGGAGCTTAGGAGAAAGTTCTGTGGGCTCAGGAACATTTCTTTGGGTGGGGCTGCCTTCTGCATAGTGAGCACGATTACTCTCACAGCTTTAATTTCTGTCTCTGGCCCTGTATAACAATGCAATCCTAGGCTTCTAACTGTAGGATACTTAAGTTGTACTTGTTTATCACATGCAATTGAATTAAACAGATCTCTCTCAAGTAGCTAACTTTCTAAGCTCTCTGTTTTTCCCCTCTAATTGTCCTAGCCAAGAGGTCTGGAAGCTTTTTCCCAATATAGTGAAGAGGCCCCTCTGAGTCCTTCAGACAGGCCTAATAAACTGTCTCCCAAAATGTCATTCTGAAGGTAGAAGTCATGTGTCCTGGTTTTTGATTTGGAAAATCTGATGATCATGTACATCAGTAGGCGAAGCAGAAGAGACAGCCAAGTTGACATGTTCTTTCAGGCCTTTTCTCCATGTTTGTTAAGACCTATGCGTGTTAGCCTGAAGCAGGTGACTAAGGAGGTCCCATGGGGACGTCCTCACAGATACGGGTGTTTGACAGAAGGAGTCAGGAATCAACCAGGAGAAAAGAGAGTGCTAGAAATCATTGCTTTGGGCATTTGATCCAGCCATCTACTTTCCTGAAAGTATTTTTTTTTTTGGCGGGGGGGGGGGGGGGGGGGGGGGGTCCAGTAGTGGGGCCTGAACCTGGGCCTGAGTGCTGTCCCTCAGCTCTTCAGCTCAAGGCTAGCACTCTACCACTTGAGCACAGCACCACTTCCGGCTTTTTTCTTTTTGCTTATATGGTGCTGAGGAATCGAACTCAGGGCCTCAGGCATGGAAGGCAAGCGCTCTACCACTGAGCCACCTTCCCAGCCCCTTCCTGAAAGTATTTTTATGTTAATATTTTTTAGATCATTTAGGTAACTATCTTAATAGTTTAATAGCTACAGTTTTGGTTGTCTTAGTACTATGGCTCTTCCTATTGCTGCTTCATTTAGAACAAAAGCATCAGAAAACGTGTTTGAGCCTTCCTTCCAACACCTAGTTTTGCCATCTATGTATAGATTTAGCTCCCTCTAAAGTCAACAGAAGATGGGCACCAGTGGTTCACACCTGTAATGCTAGCTGCTTAGGAGGCTGAAATCTGAGGATCGAGGTTTGAAGCCAATGCAGGCAAGAAAGTCTATGTGACTCTTATCTTCAATTAAACAGCCCCCCCCCCCCCCAAAGGCCAGAAATGGAGCTATGACTCAGGTGGTAGAGTGCCACTCTTGAGTGAAAAAGCCAAGCAATAGCTTGAAGTGCTGAGTTCAAAATAAACAATAGTCAACTTAAGTGGACCCCATGGGCTACTGTAGAGGTCAGGTGTAAAATACCAAAATTCCCTTGAGTGAACATTATATCACGATTTCTAAGACTACAGTTGATCAGGAGCCAAGTCGGAAGCATCTTAAATGAACACCTCCCTCCTTCATGTTACTTCTTAATTCTGCCCCTCGTTTTCTCCAGATATACAATGGGTCATGTAAGCTCCATCCTCTTCAGAGACAAGAAATGCTTCTGATAAAACACACGGACACAACACAGCTTTAGTGAATACACGCACAGTTCTAGAGTTCATCCACAGTGGGTGTGCGCGTGAACATGTGTGGATACACACACTCCTGTCAGAACTCACTTTTTACACTATTGAGGGGGAAATGACATCTATTTAAAAAAAAAAGGCATGGTGGTATGAAATCCACCTCCTCAAACCTCAAATTTCATTCCTCCCCAAAGTCGTGTCTATGTGAGAAGAGTGAGGAGAGAGCTTTCAGCCTGCTGTATCCTAATCCTGTCTACAAAATAGGGTACCCCAATTTGAAGGTCTGAACAAAGTCAGAAGGGTTTGGGGGTGAGGAGGGGCAGGCAGACAGGGTTATCTGGAGAGAAACTGAGACCCAGAAACTCACAGGGTCAAGCCGCTTTCTGAATTCTCAGGCCACCAACACAGGGTGACCGGAGGGAGTCACACCCCGAATTCCCTTCCACACGGACCTGGACGAGGCTCTTCAACGACTGGGGTCGATTCCAAGATGGGCAAGAACCCCTTTCATTCCTTCCAAGACCGTCTCCCACCTTTGCCCAGCAGAAAAACTGGTTCATTTACATCCCAAGGTAATTATCTCTGCATTTCACTGGCTGGTAACTCGTGGCTCACCTTCAGCAAAGCCTATGGGGGAAGGTCGGCGGTGGAAGTCCATAGAAACTTCCTCCCCACAGCACACACCCCCCTCCCATACACAAGACAGACAGACACACACACACACACACACGCGCGCGCGCGCGCGCGCGACCCATCACGACCGATCCTAGGCCTTGCCCAGGTCCCTTTCAACCACACACGAGTCTCCCCGGGACGTCCCCCCCCCCCGCCCGCCTCCTCCCCCCGCATCCGCCCCTCGGGGCTGAGCGCGTGCGGACGGGGCCCCGAACCCCAGCAGCGGCCGGGATTCCGCGATCCGCGGGGTCCCCACCCCAGTTCTCGCGCCTGAAGTGGCACAAGGTCCCGGGGCGGGTCACCTAGGAGGCGCTGAGCCCTCCCTCCCCACCCAGCCCCGTCCCCCCTCCCGGCACCCGCCCCGCGCCCGGCGGCGCCGGGGGCGCAGCGCCGCGGGACCCGACGGCGGCAGCACGCGGCGCGGCCGCGTGGGGGCCCCGCGGGTCCCCGGCCCCGGCTCCCCGCCCTTCACGTCCCTCGGTGCCCGGCAGGTGCGCCCCCGGCGAGCCCGGCCGACCCGCTCCCCATCCCTCCGGGACCGGGACCTTCTCCGTACCGGATCCTGTCCTTCTCTGCCCTCTGGAGCTCCTCGTTCCTCTCCAGCACCCGGAGGATCGTCCGGGCTTCTTCCTCGTTTAGGAAACTGAAATCAAACCCCTGAGGAACTTCCGTCATTTTGCTCCTCTCCCAGCTCCAGGGCGCCTCGGGTTACCACCGCATTTTTCTACCCCAGACCAGCCTGGTTTGGGAGAACTGGATTCCACCCCCACCACACACCTCCCCACACCCCACCCCCTCGCCGAGAGTAAGCCCGGCCCCTCTGCAAGGCCAGGGCCCAGCCCACACAGCCCGGCTCCCCTGACAGCTCCTTAATGACAGGCTTCCCTCGACCTGTCCAACTGAAACGCCGAAGGGATGACCCAAGGGACAGGAGGAGCCAATCCCATTTCGAGGGGGGCGGGACCTGCCTTGGCCCCTCCCCCCATCCCCTTCACCTCCTAGGTGACTTGTTGGGCAAACATACTTCTGTCTCTTAAGTGAAGCCTCCCAAGTGTTTGCTCTGCCCCTGGCTGTTTGCTCTAAGATCTTGAGCCCGGCTAATAGAAAGAATGTAAAGGAGATTCCTAGCCAATCCTCTCCTTTCTCGGTAATTAGGAGTGCCTTGGAAGTAGACTTACAGGTAGCTTCAGAGCCAAGAGAAGGGTTAAACTGAAAGACTAGCAAGGACTAAATGCACACGGTCCTTGGTGGCCTGGTCGGGCCTACCCTGGGGAAATGAATTCTTTGCCAAACTTCCCATCTCTCACCCTTGGCCCCAGTCCCCACTGTCCCTCAAAAAACATTCTAAGGCTTGGAAGCCAGAGACAACAACCAAAAAACACATGTATTTGGTACTTTGGAAGACAGCCCCGAGGCACAGGATGTTAGAAAGCACCTCTGACTAAACTGAAATACAATTCCATGAAACCACACAAATCGTTGTTCCTAGAAAGCAATATGCTACCATGTAATGTATATGTACTACATGTATATATATGTAATTTCCAAATACACACATCTATCTATCTACCTACTACCTACCTACCTATGTATGCAATTTAAAACTTATCAAGATCCTTTCAGAAACCATGAAAGAGCTTTTACTTCCTACAAAAAAAGCCACCTTACATTGTGGACTTCCCCAACCCCATGGCTTTACTTTGGTGTTGTGGTGCTGGTGGTTACTAACATTCAAATATATTTCCACATGCATCATCTCGTCTCATGATAAATAAACCCAGTAACGATTTTATGCCAGTACCAAACAAAAACATGGAAATAAAGTATGACTATATGCTGAGCTTTTCTCCTTCCTTCTGTTCACCTTGATCATCATTTACAATCTGCCCGGGCAGCTTGCCTTTCTAATAACTTTGCATGAGTGTCATTTGCATAAAACAGGAACCAATTTTGATTATCACCCTACAACACAGAACAGTATTGTATGTTCACGATAGTGATTCAGGAACCTGTCTTCTATCATGCCCAAATTTTTAGTGTACTTTTTTTTTTCTTTCCATTTATTGGGAATGTGCCTAGACCTTTTAATGTGAGAATGGATGGGTTTTTACTCTGTTCACAGTATAATTGGTTGAACTGATTTCAGTCAACATAGCTTGGTTACATAAGGGATTGTACATAGGCACAACATAGTCCTTGTAATGTGGGGGGAGAGGTGAGGTGGCGTGACTATATAATTAAGAACATTCCATGAGTGTATAGGAAAGAAATTAGTTGCAGCCTCATGGATCAGGGAAGAGGGTATTGGCGTTTGTGGTTGAAACCTGAAAGGTCAGATTTCAATAGGAAGAAACAGGACGGCAGGAGATGTTTGAGCCTATTCTAGGCACAAGTGCAGGGGGCTGGGTGACAGTAGTCTCTAGGAATCGTCTCGGATTCCACAGCTCCTCTGGTGTATGGCCAGCAAGAAAAACGTAGAAGCCAGAAAGGTTTGTTTTCTGGTCTATTCAGCCAGCTGCAAGCAGCCAATTTCAGTCTTAGTATCTGGTAGCCCAAGCAATCTCCTGCCCGGCCTCTTGGCTAAAGAGATACTCATCAGTTTGGTTTATAACAGTTATTACAGCTGTATAGAACCCAATAGTCTTCAGAAATCTCTGTGGCCTAATTTCTCCAGGGCGTTGGTCCAATCCTCAGCAGTGGGTTTGGTCCCACTGCCTTTTGCACCCCCCCCCACAATCACCCAATTGAGAGAATTGCTGATCATATAATCATTTTTTTTGCCATATAAAATCACCTGTGACTCCATTGAGAAGCAACTCTGTGGTTTTTCACACAAATATTTTTCTAGCCTTTAACTTTCCTCCTAGGGCCATCTTAATGCCTTCTCTTCCAACTACAGCTAGCTCACAGGGTATGTTTGGTGGCAGCTTTCAGTGCAACAAGCAAATATTTGTCTACTCTAAGAGATGGATAACAGGCCTTTCTTAATAAATGAGAAGGGAGTTTCTCAGTTGATCAAAAAGTAAGGAGGTCTAACTCAGAAGAGAAAAATACTGATTGCAGATGATTATCTATTTAGAAAACCACCAAAGAAAAATTTTAAAACCATTAGAATTAACCATTCAAAAACAAACAATGAAACCCTATTGCTCAGTGCTAGTGGCTCACACCTATAATCCTAGCTACTCTGGAGGCTGAGATCTGAGGATCACATTTCAAAGCCAGCCTTGGCAGGAAAGCCTGAGACATTCTTACCTCTAATCACCAAAAGTCAGAAGTGAGGCTCTGGCTCAAGTAGTAGTGAACATAAAAGACCAGGAACAGCTTTCATACTCTGAGTTTAAGTCCCAGGACTGGCGTGTGCATATGCATACGTGCACGTGTACACACACACACACACACACACACACACACACACACACAACTTGTGAATGATGAAAGGGCTGGTATTGTTCAAGATTCACTGTCCTTATAAATTGATTTGTTGAATGGTAACCCCTTGTGCAACTACTTAAAAATAATAAAAATGTAATTTTAACTCCTCCTCACTCCCAAAAGAGACTTGTGAGCTATCTGTAACATCTTTTGAACCAAGGTCGTCTTCATGCAAGAAATAGCCCACTGTGACTTCGTAGTGAAAGATGCCTAGTATTTGTTCCACTTGAGGTATCAAGTTCTGTGTGAGGTGCTAGGAACACAGGACACATGAACAGAACTCTGTCCTTGTGGTGTTGACATTCCCACAGGAAGTAACACACACATAGGCACATAAAGAAAAGCTCTACCAAGAGTGGTAAGTACCACAAAGAAACTAACAAGGCAATAAGATGGAGAGATGACTTCCATACTTGGACTGGGGCTTTGAAGGGTGCCAGGAGAAGAGCTTTCTAAACAAAAGCAGTCACTATGTGCTGAGCTCCTCACACATGTGGTCAGGTTTAATTCCACAACCGTATGAAGTAGACACAGAATGACATGAGTGAAACAGAAAGTCATACCCACAACCTGCACACAGGCACCTAACGCCTCTTTGCCAACCTCCAATTAACTGGATCATTGCAATTAATTAATATGCCAATTACATCTAATCAAATGGTCTCTTAGCCTAACCTGGAAGGCTTTTCCTACATGTGAGCTTTTTAAGGAGAGTTTATTGGTACACATTTGAACTTTTTTTTTATCAGTGCCAAGACTATACTACTTCAGAAGTTGTCCTGTGATTTAAGTGGGCAAATTTCCATTGAATAGAACTTTAATTGTTTCATTTATGATTTCTAAGCTCATTAGCAGGACCAAGCTGATGTCCGGCTTGAAGACAATATATAAACAGAACTTACTGATCAGGGAAGTACTATAAGGATTGTTTCCTTTATGAGTCATTTATTCCAATATAGGAGACTTGCTTCAACCACAAATTTCAGGATGCTAGGCATGCCCTATTCTAAGGCATGTGACAGGTTTCTCTAGTTATATATGCTGTTCCCCATGTTAGAAGTTCATCAGCAAGTGACAAGTTAGATGACAAATACAATGTAAGTTCTGAAGCTGGGCAGTGGATTTACAAGAATAATTTACACTGGAAAGGAGTAAAATACTCCTGCTGTAGGTAAGAATACCCATGCATGCTTTTTGTCTCTACCTTACAATGTCTGACTTTTGTTGTTGCTGTTATTTGTTTGTTTGTGCCAGTACTGGCACTTGAAGTCAGGACCTCAAGTTTAACTCTTTTGCTCAAGGCTGGCGCTCTACCATTTGAACCACATCTCTACTTCTGGATTTTTGCTAGATAATTGGAAATAAGAGTCTTGGGGATATTTTTCTATCTGGGCTGGCTTTGAATGGTGATCCTCAAATCTCAGCCTCCTGAGTAGCTATGATTATAGGTATGAGCCTATAGTGCCTAGGTCTGAGTGTTAATGTTGAGTACAAAGGACTACTCTCTCAGAATAGACTAACTTCCCAGCTTTGCTAGATCCTACGAACCCAATTGTTGTGTTGATGAAAATATCCCAATGCTCTAATTAACTTTAGGTTATAATATCAACTGCCACAAGATGGTGTCTATGTTTGTATCATTCCAGACATTCTTGTGGTCCAGGGAATGACTAGATAGACAAGCTATTGAACTAATGGCATATTTCAACGAATAGTCACAAGGGAGAAATGCACTTAACATATTCAGAGATGCAAATTAGGAACAGCAGCCCTAAAACTGACTAAGAGTCCCATAAACTTATAGCCATACTAGATATAATCCAAGCTTGTAAACAATAACCAATAACCAGATACTCATCTACCTTTGGCCTTTTTGTGAAAAACCTCAATATTGCAATTCAATCAATATTAATCCCCTTAATACAGCATTCTAATTACTTCAAGCCTTGAGATATGATAAATAGCCAAACCTATGGAATCTTTGATCATTTTCCCTTTGGTTAAATACAAAATGAGGGGTAACTTTTCCCTCTGTTTGTTTTGAAGGCAAGTTCCACAGCAGTGACCCAGGAAACATGTCACATGCTTCCTTTCCTTTGTAGCTTCTCAAATAACTCTCCTAAAACACAGTAGCTCCTGAGTCCTACAGCCATTCCTAAGGCAGCCATTCATTCTTCATTCATTCATCCTGGATTATTCTGGTTAATTCATTTAGAGTTATTTTTGTTCCTTGCTTTATTCGATATTTAATAAGTACTATTCT